TCAAATATGTGGGATAGCACCTAACAATGAAGCATATTTACAAAAAGAAATATAACCAGAATACCCTATAAAGTGCATTCGCATGATCTGGCAACAGGGCAGCAGCGGCGCTCAAGCTTAAGAGTATCCCTTCCACAAGTCAGCACAGGAGGTGGCTACTTACGTAATGCACGACGAGATGGCGAAAGTCATCTGATAGTCTGGTAAACATAGAGTTATATTTGCAGGAGTAATAGTGCAGTTCAATTATAAAGTTTACCCATGTAAAAGTTTTAATGTTTGAGATATTAATTTCTTTGTCTCTCTTTTTTAATCTAACTTTTGTTGCTGTCCCTAGAAATAACAGGATGTCTGTTCGTTTTGCAAAATATTCTCACATAGTTGGTCTAACATTTGAAATATCATTTTCGATAAATAGAAGTAGGTAAATTTGTCAATTTCATCTTCGTAGTTTTTATTTTAGAAAACTATTTTACCCAACTTTGGTATTCAGAAATGATATAACAATGTACTAGACTGATACTGCAAAGTACTGCGATAAATTAGCTGCTTAATCAGCAACAAAGCGTAGATCAAACCAGGAAATTTTTCGAAAAAGACAAAAATATTACATCTCAAAAACAGTGAAACTTTTACTAGGGTCATTTTTTGGTATGTTGTAGATCTGCTTTCCGCCTATCTTCCCCATTTCTTTGTCGTACTATTTACCGGACGCCCAGTATACTGACGTCATAAGCCAGAAGATAGTAGATACGAGTATCTGCTAATTTCTCATTTTACAGGAGCTCTAAGAATGCGTTATAACCCTTCTCAAATTGTAACGTTTCAAGTAAAAAGAATGCTTTCGGCTTGAATACGGTTGAAAATGAAAATATTTTCTAGCGAATTCATTAATTTCACGAAGGATGTTTATTCAGAATTGTCTGGCCAACTGTACTTTTAATTAATAGCACAGTAAGTCCTACACTATGTTGTTTATCTCACGTTCGGCATGTCGCTCATTCGCAAGAACAGTGACAGATTGCAAAAATCGTAATTTGCAGGAAACAAGATTTTAAAATTTTTATTTCTTATATAGCTGTTTTTAGATATAAATATAATTCAATTATTATTGAGCTTGTCAAAATATGAAGTATAGGGCAAGATTATACAATCTTTCGTAGATGAAACCTGTATAATTTTTTACAGTATCCTTAGAAATATGCTAAATTACCGACGAAAAGTAATTAAAATATTATGAATTTTGGTGTGATGAAGTCATATCTGCTAGCGTCGTAAATTGAAACACAGTACCTGTATGGCTTCTAAGCAAGGATACAGTAAATACTGGTCATTTACTACGTTTTGATTTATTGTTGTGCAGATACTATGTTCTAATTAAGATGATCGTAAAATGCTAGATTCTGTAAATGAAAACTCTTACATTTTCGGTATTATCATGACATATACTTTATATCATCAAAATATAGTTCTTCGACGTGCTTTTCATAGTTTAATGACGACATCTTGCACTTAGTGGCAGCACCCATTTGCTTCAGGTAGCTGTTGATGTAAACAGCTGTGTCATTCCCTAAATGCATCCATTCTCATCAGTGAAACGTACTGGTCCCGCTACTGCCTACGCATATATTTTTGTTTGCAGTCGTTCGTCATTAAGGGCCAGACGATCATGAGCGTCGCTATATCCATCACTGCACATTGCGCTACACAAATTCGCGTATTCCGCACGCGCAGAATCATCTGACTAATCAAGTGACAAATCTGACGAACTTTTGATTGATGTGTTGCAAAACTAATAAAAACTGGAGAAACAAACCCTTCATATAACAATAATAATAGAATACGTTAGCCTCAAATTTCTGAAGAAAATCCATATTTCGGTCGAAAAGGTATCCAAAATGGACGATCGCCCTCAGTAATATAAATGACGGACCGATTATTCCTATAAAAATAAAAGACAATTGACGCATAATAAGGGCTAAGTAATGAAAGAAATCATTCAATATTAGACGTCACTTTCAACCTAGCTAGCGCATTACCTGGCTTTTACCTCGAAAACACGTTACCACTCACGTGGAAAAATTCTAATAATCACGTCAAATATACGTCCTAAAAACGACGTCACATACCAACGTAAAACACACCGATCGATGCTGTAAAAGACATTGAAAGGCGACATGAAAGTCGTGAACGGATACCACTAATTTTTGGTAGCATACCAGCTCTTGGAAGAGCGGAGGGATTAGGATTTTTGGTCTACAGGCAAAATTCTCTGTGACTATGGCGCTTGAGGAGATGACAATCAAACTAAATTATATTCGATGAAATGGTCTAACGTTAAAATGAAATATGACAAAAACACTATAGCAACGGTCTAGTGGCTCTCTGCGACATTTTTTTCTAAGTACAGTTTTCTTTGTATCGAAGTACGTGAGGGACCCTGAGCTTCAACTTTGAATGTTGCATTGCTTTTCATAAAGCAGGTATCATTGTAAATCTATGGAGTCACGAGTAGATATTTTTTACACTTTGAATACTTCATACTTTTTAGTTTTAGGAAGCCCAATATCTCATTAGTCGTTATACAGTCGGCGATTCTCCTTTTTTTAAGGTTCTGATGTAAATATCTTGTTGTTTTTAAGGCGGCCGCCATACCTCCTTCTTCTTAGGCGTCAGCCATTTTGTGCGATGTCACCAGAAGCGCCGTAATTTTCATTTCCTTCATTGAAACATTATATTCCCAAATAAGATATTGTAACAACGTAAAAGAACAAACACCAAGGCACTACTTTATTGGTTGCCATCACCTGATGATGATGATGCTGATGACTTTAATGACGGCCACATACGTAACACATATACCGAGAAATAACTTTTCCCAGTGTATCCAGGCGGCCAGTTGCTGGGATTTGATTGTTATAAAAGTTGAACATCGGCAGTCATCGTGGTTACTTGCTGCCCGTCGTTCGGTCTGTCTGCACAGAAGCACATACCAGTCTCGGCCACCTGCTCAGCCACTTCTCCATCCACTTGGAAATCCACTGCACATCCAACTCATGCTCATAAAAATGGACAAACGATCAGCTATCGTTGTCGGCCTCATGGTCTTTGCCCTACTGGCCATTACATGCAATGAGGGTGAGTCTTTATACGAATTTTTCTTATAGGAACAAATCTTACTCTTAAAAGTTTAAAAACATATATACAATATATACGCGATTTAGAAGAGACCTATGTTCAGAAGGTTAAATTGCCGTTGAAAATACGTAAAGGCGTATCTAGCTTTTAACGATTTATAGGAGAGCGCTTTAAAGAAGTTTGCTATACTATTTCAAACGTAAGTCAAAAATTACTACCCTTAGAAGATTTCCTTTTGGCAGTTATTTATACAAAGTAAGACTAATAAGATGCACGACCCAAATTTTGAATACAGTTCTGCAAAGGCATTTTTTAATAATTTGTTGAAGATATGCCTTTACTTACGTACTTTTTTAGTGACCATTAGAGTTCCATATGTTTTAGCTGAAGTACTACTATACTAGTAGGATAATAACACAAAAAGTCCTAAAGAGAGATACAATAAGTCATCCAAACGAAACTGAAAATAGAAGAGGTGGGGAATTTTAAATTGATTCACTTGTATGGGGTACACTTGAATAATATTGGACGTGCTCTGGTAAATTTATTCCCGGGGTATCCTCAGTACATAGCACCACTAATTTTTTATATTTTTCTAAAGTTATTGGACGAAGTACCTTACTCAACCGATTAATTAGTTGTGATTTGGAAAGGTGCAGGTTGCCGCTTCAAGGGCATTGCCCTATAATTTTTATCTGTATGATCTACTTTGAAAAATAGTTTGAAGGGAATTGGTTAACATGAATTCAAAAATATCGGTCCGCTTAAACTGATTGCATTCCTCGTCAACCCGAGTTGAACGCATACTAAGGTTCTCTCTAATTTTTTTGATCTAGGAAATCACTGAATTTTAACGAATAAACTTCATAGGATTTTGATCGTCGCGCAAAACAAATCTCGAAGGTCCGGCTTTCAAAGATTTATATTAAAGGCCTTGAGAAGCGCCTTCACGTCCTAATTTACTTTTTTCAGCTTCGAGAATCACCCCTCACTTTTTATTTCACATCTAGCAAACAGTAATGGGTTGAAGCACGTTCAAAGATGTGCATGGGCGTATCTATAAAAGTTTTGCCGAATTTCGAGATACGCCTTTACGTATTTTCAACGGCGAAATGAGAACGCATCTCATGTACGTTTTTTTTCATTTAACGCCAAGGTAAAAAATGTTTCGCGTATATTTTAAAAAACTATGAGTACTGCTTGAAATTGTTTACAGGAAAGTTGTGTGGGATAAAAGGACCTTCGATATAAATCCATTCTCTGTTCAGTTTATTACAGCGATCACCTCACTGAACAGTTAGCAAAAAAAAACATTTATCTCATAAATATTAGTGTAGTAATCTGCAGAAATAGTAGAGATTTCTCAGTGAATTTCTTTTAGATGGGTCACTACAAGACGGTTCAACAGATCCTTCAAGCTGCTATTTTATTTTTTGCGCCGCTCTTTTAGCGAGCTGTGCAGCTACGTAACATACGGTCTCATTTTGGTCCATAAACCATTGCTACCGGTACCTCATAGATTTTTGAATAGACGAAAAAGATAGATTTTCACAAAAACTTGTTTTATTCCCAGATGACGAGTATTCTCATTTACACCCAATAACATTGATTGTAAAATCGTTATATACTAATTTTGGTGAAACATTTTTTGGTTCATTAACTTGATATGTCTTGATCCTAGGATATTATTATTAGTTACCAATATCACAATAAGATACGTATTTCTTAAAGCTTACTTTACCTCGAAACTTACGTGCTACTTAGGGTATGGGCAAATCCATCTTCTTTACTATGAACAATAAACGGAACGCATATTAGTGTTTCAGCTGCCTCAACAGCATTTCTCAAACTACAATATCGTAGCTCATAAAAATGATTTTGAATTCTGAAAGAAGCTGCCCTAGGACCTGAAACATCAGTAGAGTCATGCGTTCACCATCCTTTGTCATCTATTGGCCACACTAAAAATGGATTAAGAAATGCAATTATTATTTCAGCCTCTCGAAGTCACACTCCAAAAATCGCCGTCATTATAAAATAAGCAACTTGGGTTAAGTTTAAACCCAATTCTCAAAATATTTAGTTCCGAGACTTTGATGTACACAGGGTGTTTAATAAGTACCACGACAAACTTAAGGAGAGGTAGGCTTTCGACTGACCTCCCAAATAACAAAAACTTGCCTGTATAAAAGTGTTTTTGAGATATTGAATTTTTTCTTAGATCTTGAAAAAACGAACCTGTTTAGCTGCATGTACAAAATGTTCATTTTTTTCTATAAAATACTTCTAGATAGTTGCTTTATCATATACAAATGCAATGTAGTTAAGAAATATTAAGGTACCATGATAAAATAAGGACTGTTTTTGGATTTGTAACCTGCTGATATTGTTTCCTCAACTTTCATAAAATCATATCAGGAGCAAGTAATAATAATGTCGCTTTGTACTATTTAGTATATCACTGATCGGTAACCAGTGCAACTTGAATTTAAATCCAATAATTACATTGTGGTGTGTGTCAGTCACTTACAAAAGCAGCTATCACTTCTATTCGAAATAGTACGTATGGTGCCTTTCTGAAATCTGTATTCAATGAGCAATCTTTTTATTCAATATCATGCAGTTATAGCCCACTACATTTTTGTTTCACCACAGATGGCCAAAGTTGAGGAAATAATATCAGACGGTTATAAATCCCAAAATAGTCCTTATTTAACATATTCAAGCATTTTTCTTGATTTATTTATAGAGTCTAGTATATTCTCGAAAGATCCTACACAGTAAAGAAGATAGAAATCTCTCACATGTTTCATACACCGAATAAAAAATAAAAAAAGCACGAGGCTGATATGAAGGAACACGTTGAAAACAGCTACAGCTATTGATGTTCAATCATCAAATTTCAGTCTGCGAAAACCAAAAGTTGACCAATTTTGACCGAACAAACAAGGTTAAAAATCGCTTTGTAATCTGAAAATACTCTTCATGGTCTTGAAGAGCAAGGTCATATCTTTAATCTATATGATTAGCGACCTCAAAAACTATCATTTTTGATGAAGTTCTTGAGCATAGTGTATGATCATTTTTCGGGATTTTCAGACATTTTTTTACTTATAGCTCGAAAATGGTCAGCTTAAGAGCATAGTTAATGCAAGCCTCTAGCTCTAAAAACTTAAAAAAACGTTGTTCGGGCAATAAAAAATTATTTAAAAATATGTTTAAGCAGATTTGATCTGGGTTATCCTGCATTCAATGCTTAAAAACTCTGTTTAGCATGATACTTTTAGAGGTCGCCAAGCATCTAATCTACAGATAAAACCTTGCCCTAGAAGAGTCCGAAGAGTATTTTGAGATTATTTTGAAGCGATTGCACATTTTTGTATTTAAAAAAGGTGTTCAAAATGTCGTCCTCCACTTTCCACACAAGCTTTATTACGACGAACCCAGTTTCTTCTTACTCTATTTCCTCGAAGTTGTCCATTTATTATTTCAGACGCATTAAAAATTTTTTCAACGTACGCGAACAAAAACAAAACAACATACTAACCACTGTTACAGTTTGCGATCGATTGCAGGTTGGATAAGGATGATGATGACCGACGCGCTGTTGTCAGGTGTGTTTTAAATATTCAATTTAATGAAACGGACTACAAATTTTGGCTTAACTTAGAAAAACTTAATGCCATTTATTTGTTGATTACCCAATTTAAAAACGTTTTAGATTAGATTATAAAAATTGGTAAGATTGTGGTCGATATAAAGTACTTAAAGTTGTAAACTATAAAGCCATTTAGACAAAAATCTATTAACTTTTGGACCATGGGTCATATGAACTTTTTGACTTGTTTTGACCCCCCTATTAGCCATTTCAATAATGACTACCATAACGTTTAATGTATAATGAAACGTAGGAATACTTATAACTTCGATACTTTATCTCACAATTAAAAATAAGCTTTTTCATTCCAAACCAATTCTTCATCTCAAAAAAATATCAAAAATTGAATTTTTTTCTAGGTTATTTTCACAATAGTCTAAAATAGCCTAAAAGACCAATCGCGCGACATTGAGCACTTATAGGTACTTTATACTTCTAATGGGTAACTTTTATATCTACTTTGAAAACATTATTATAAAACGAGAAACAGGCATTAAATGTACCTACATATAAACTTCTTTCAAAAAGTAGGTTACGTTTAGCAGCCCTGGAGTCTTACTCTCCGATGGTCTTTACAATTTTATTCGTGATGAAGTAGTCCTAAAATTGTATTGGACTTGAAATTAAATAAAAACAGTACTTTACATCACTTTAATAAATCACGTTGAGACAAAATTATGTAAATATTGAGAATTGATCTCGTATTCATGATTCCTTATGTTTCACGTATCTACGTAGACGTACTGGGTACTGGGCAAGGATTGCCAAGTTTTTTTTACGGATGTTTTTGTACCAATAACTGGATATTTCTTCTTTGTTAACGAAGGATCCACAAAACTGATACGTTAGCAACATGAAACTGTATCTTTCACCACACGTTGTAAAAATGAAGTCAGATAGACTCAGTGATTCATCCTAATATGATGTATCTGTAAAAATCAGATCATAATGTTCATTGAGCTATTTGTTAACGAATCATAATAAAAGAAAACAGATAAGTTAAATCAACAATTTGTGCACATTGACCGACTGCACCCATCCCAAGAATACAACTCGTACTCAAACATAGGATTATAAGAAAGATTCTGGTTGAACTTTAAGAGGTGATTCTTTCTAAAATTAAAAGACTATATAAGGGCAGGTGCGATAATGATTTGTGTCTAAAGCATTTTTCAACACCTACTTGAACAGGCTATGTTTGATCAGACGAACGAAAGTAGACCATGTTTATTTTATTTCGTTCAATGGCAAGCAGACCACATTCACTACACAACTAGAATTGTCGCCCTCTAGCGGTCACTTGTTGACTGGTCCTCCAATTTCTCGGACTGGGATCTGTGAAATTGAGAGACTATTTGCGGCCTAACGATGATTCATAAAATTAATTTTGGAATGAAGGGTCCCAAAAAGATTGATAAGATTAATTTTTGGAAAGAAGTCATTTGACTCCCGCAGAGAAATGCATATGTCAAGCGAAATTCTTAATGTGTATTCCATATTTTGAAACGCGTAACCTATGTTGAGAAGTATAATAGTATATTTCTAAATGTCAACGCTTATCACGAGTAAAACAAAAATCAAAATTTGAGAATAGATCAAAAACACTACCACCTATTTCCTCATATTACAGCTGCGTTATTCAACAATTACAGTTAAAATTCAACAACTTATTCAACAAAGAAGCTAAGAAATTACTGTTGTGAAAATTCATTTAACAATGTACCAGAGTACTTGGAATGTGCGAACTTGAACTTGAGTACATAAAGATGGAATCAATACTTATTCGTCCACCCATATGAATTGTAACATTTTTATTGACCTTTATTGTTTTGTATTAATTTTTTTACCACATATGGAAGTTTGTATCAGGTGGATATGAATAAAGAATAAAGAATATACAGTCCCAACTATTAGGCAGCAATTTAATGTTTCGCAGCGGTCGATTCTGGCGGTAATAATAATAATAATAATAATAATGTTTATTCTACAAACTATTAGCAGATAACTAGAAATAAATATTTTAGAACAATAAACATGGTAGAAAACCCGCAGAAAGCTAGCCTTGTACGCGGGTATGCACTAGCTTATGAATAGTTACGTACTACTTAAACTAGGAATAAAAAGGCACACGTGATTGTCTAAGAAAAGAACAATAACAACATTAAATAGGATTTTAAAATACATTAACTGACAAAGTGGGAGTATGGATGGCTTCATTTAATTATAGATCCTTTTTAAGGCGAAATGTTTCATTTAGGGCACACAGTCTATCTTAGGTTATTAGTGTTTTTGTTTTCTGTTCTCTGTTTGGAGGATATATATAGTAGGTTGTCAAAATCGGTAAATAAGTATAGCAGGGGTGTATTGTCTAAATCGGTAGTGTTGGGTATAGGGTATTTTGTCTAATCCGGTAACTTTATTCTAGTAATTGGTTTCCATGTTAAGTGTAATCTGTTTAAGTCAACGATTTCGTGAATTCTCTGTCTGGGCATAGATGTTATCCAGAATTTTACTTTCCTTTTAAACGTGTGTTTGGAACGTATCAGGCAGCAGCGGTGGCCGCAGTAGTAGACTCTTCGGTCTCCTCATCAGTCGCCGTGCGCTGTGCGGGTTCGAGTCTCGTCCCAGGAGAATTTTGCTCTTGGCTATGGATGTTGTGATTGTCCGTAGGTAGTAGACGGTCTCTGACTGTCGAATGCGGAGGTACCACCCGGCGGATCTCGTAGGCGGAGCCAGAATGTGTGCATGTTGCATGCACACGTGTTCCCTCGCCAGAGTCCGTGTGGCGTCCCCCTTTCCCCCTTTCCCTGTATCCCCCATAGCCCCACGGTACCCGATGGGTGTTTAGGCCTTAGGCCTTCGTGGTAGTTGGGGTATAAAAAAATCATCCTCAGGTCTTGTGGAAGAAGATTTTAACATCTTGGTCCTAGGTAAGAATACGATCTGAGCATTATATTTTTTTCTGGTTTTGGCACCTTTAAATAATTTCTGTTTCTTGATGGTAAGAATGTAATTGGTAGACTCCATACTTTTGAGAGTATTTTCGCTCGTTGTCCGAGAGACCCAGACCTAGACCCTGCTGGCATATCCAAAAAGCAAGAAACAGCTGTTCATAGCTGGCTGTGTATTTTATTTCATTTTTTTAAATAACAATATGTCAATAGCGCGTTAGCCAATTCTGTTGAAATTTGTTGAGCTTTCGAGTACACAGACGAAACGTCGGAAATTTAAATTGATTTAAATAAGAAAAATAGCTGGTAAAGTCCAAACTATAAACAATTTTGTGGGATTGCATCTGGCGATTTGTATGTCCTGGACCATCTGTGACTTCAATAAAGCGTTTTTCTTAGTTCCCCCAGTTAATCTCCTGCCTACTAAATTTTAACGAATTGTAGCAAAATCTGCAAGAGGATTATTGCAATTTGTCTGGACAAAAACTAAATTTCAATAAAGGTTTGACAGCATGAAGCTTGAAAATGAATCATTACCAAACTTTTGATTCTGTGAACTTTTCTTTTAGAATTAACCCTTATACATTGTACGCCAGCATATCAATCTCAAAAATACAGATACCTGTACTTTTTTTGTTCTAATACACTTAGCCAAACGTAATATGGTATTATTTAATTTAAGATCAATTTATCCTTTATAAATAATACGCTGTATACAAAATAGATGCTTATGCTTCCCGCCCGGTGCACATTTTGAAACGAGAAAAAAACATAGTTGAATCCAGAACACTCGCATCGTTTGAGTGTTTTCCACATTCTCTAAGTAGTAGTCCAGGTATTGATAATCCAGATTCCACTTGTGCATTGCTTGTACCCACGTTATGAACGTAGTTTCCCGAGTCAACGGCAAGGTTCAAAACTCATCATGAATAATGTACATGTTTTTAAAGGTACAGGATTTCAAATCGTTGTTTTCCTTTATTGCCAGTGACTCAAGCTTTTTGGCTCTGTAGGTAGACAGTGAGGAGTGAGATAAAAAAATAATAATCTGAAGTGAGCTACTTCTAGCTACTTTATCAGTAGGAAGGTGGTAGCGCGTTTTATCCAAAGTTTATCACTGCTAGAAGAATTAGAAAAAAATTTGAAACATATTTTGTGGTTTATCGAAATAAGACAGCACAATGTGCCATTGTTACCAGAATTGATCACTGCGGAAATGAGAACAGCAAGCCGTATGTATCCCAGTTCGCATTGTCAGCCAGGTCTCTACTGTGGCCACTAGATGCCGCCGATCTTGGTCTTGTAGTAGATACGGTCTATTCGCTATTAAACAAACTAGTAATACATTTTTCGTTCGTCCGGCCTAGTTCGGCTGTTTGAGCAACTGTTCCCTATCCAGAGTATAACCTTATATTAGTTTTCTTAGTAATAAAAATTCTATGAGACTTGGGTCGAGACCCGGTATGAAATATGAAGATGAGTGTGGTGACCCTACGTGCCTTTGCTACGTGCAATGACTGAGTTCTAACACTTGACGTCTATTTTTATGGGACGTTAATCAGTATATTCTACGTGTCTCAACGAATACCAAGCAATCAGCTGTTGTTGGTTATTTGACTTTCCTGTTAACCTTAGTATCGTCTCTTGATTTGATTGTGCTTTTAATAAGCTACCATAATATTCATATGCCCCCGAAAAGTACACTCAGAATAACAAGGCAGTTCGAAGGGCTGCAGACTAAGTGATCGATGGTAAGGGATCGATAGTTCAACCCATTATATTAACTAGGAGCTCAAAAATAAGCGGTAAGATCTACATCTGCGTACTTCCAAATTAAGTAGACGTTCATAGGGTATTGCATAGCTCTGTGCCACAAGGAACATGTGATTCTTTTTGAACATCCCGTGCTTTTTAAAATGAGGAGACTGAGATAACTTACCGTAGGGTTCTGATGATCATTTGTTTAGTTGTTTCATCATTTGTCCGGAAATACTGAAATTTATAAAACTTCGCCATTACTCCCTAACTATTGGTGGGGACCTGTCTTGTGCCATTTCTCGCATACTAGTGAGGTTTCTACTGCCATTCTCCATCGCATTCCCTCGTTCAATATTCTGTCTAATATAATGATAATAAACGTATTTATTGGGTGATACTTAACCCGTAAAATGTCTAGCCACAAAATAAACAATAAAAACAATATATACCACTAAAATGTTAGAGGTTTCAACATAAAAGCGAGTTGATTGGGTAAAATAAGAAATTGAATAAAAGGGAAAAGTATAACATTATACACGCTTATAAAATGATCTTAATGCATATAAGCAGACATGAGAGATTAATTTATGTTAATGATTGTTTGAAAATGATATTTTTTAAATACTTTCTAAATTCTCGAAATTTAAAGCGTTAGTATCAGAGTTATAAAGCATTGTACATGATAGTAGCATTATAAGTAAAATATTTAGTAAAATTGTGGATCTAAAATCAGATGACAAATAAAGTTGCAATATGTAATTTTTGAAATAATTGATGACTACAGATAATTTTTTTTTACTTTTGTAATGGAGAATCTGTTCATTCATGTATAATTACCGAAGTACTAAAAAACAACTTTTGTAACATTGTTCACATGAATAAAATTTAGACATTTATCAAGAGGTATCCCTAGATTTCTTACAGTTCCTCAGAGTTTTATAATTTCAACCAGGTAATGATATAGTCGAATACTTTCTGAATTGTTTAGGAGAAAATATAATTGCTTTTGATTTTTCTGGATTTAATCTACGAATATTAATTTATGCGTACTTACCGATAGATCTAAAATCTTCATTAATTTGAGCCTCAGCAATTATTACATTGTTAGCCTTGAAATTATTGAACTGCGAGTCATCCACAAAAAACTGAATATTGCAGAGTTTAACAACCTTAACTAGATCGGGGATATATGAAATAAAAGAATTAGTCCAAGAAGTGACCCTTGAGGTATTGCTGATGATATTAGAGCCCCAGGAAAGTGTTCATATCGATGACAACTCTTTGTAATTTATTTGTATTTCTTAAAAAGATATTGACAGCGTTTTATCTAGTCCATCTATGTTGCATTTGTTTTCTGCGTCCCTTTTTCTCGTGAGAGTCCATACTTCCGATCCATACGTAATTGTACCTCAACAAGTGGTTTATATGTGGTGCTTTGTTCTCTTTGAAATACCTTTAATCCACAACTGTCTGATAGATGTTTTGCCTTGCCAGCAATTATTACATTGTTAGTCTTAAAATTATTGAACTGCGAGTCATCCACAAAAAACTGAATATTGCAGTGTTTAACAACCTTAACAAAATCGGGGATATATAAAATAAAAAGAAGTAGTCCAAGAAGTGACCCTTGAGGTATTGCCGATGATATTAGAGCCTCAGGAGAAGTGTTCATATCGATGACAACTCTTTGTAATTTATTTGTATTTCTTAAAAGGATATTGACAACGTTTTAGCTAGTCCAACTGTGTTACATTTGTTTTCTGCGTCCCTTTTCCTTATTTTTTCCATTTGCTGTTAGTGTATCTCCCAAGTTTTTTATATTGTGCTGTGCATTTGATGTTGTCAGTATAGATGAATCCTGCATCTCTGCTCCTACTACCATGTACTTGGGCTTATCCATATTTACTTCTAATCATCATCTTCATCGTCTGCTATGATCACTTGGTCGTACGTTTAGTCAAGTTTTTCAGATACTCATCAATGTATATTTTGAACAGTGCGAGGGAAAGCAACAACTTTGTTGCAGACCCTTGTTCACTGATATTTCTTTTGACAGACATCTACAAATTTGTATTTTACTATTGTTATTTTCGTAAAGTGTTTTCACGCAGCTTATATGTACTGTAGATTTTTAAAAACCTGAACCGAATCAGCTTGTTCAAGTCCATGAAGGGTGTTTCAGTTTATTGTTGCATAACTTTAAGATTCGATAGAACTTTCAAAATTAATGCATAAAGTCTATATAAACATAGGTCGAAAAATGCGTGGCTTCCAAAATACAGGGTGTTTAAATTTACCTTTTAAAATAGCTTTTTTTAAATATTTCGAACAATATTTGACGTATCAAAGTGAAAATTGGTATACAAGGGTTTTTTGGTACGACAAAACGAACCATGGGCATAGTTTTACTGTAGCCGCTAGAGGGCGCTCTCTACTGTACCTGTAGTGTTTTAAAATGACCGAAATTTTTTTCTTAGTGCAATTTTTTGCTTTTCGAATAAAAAACTAATTCTCCGCACTTTTCAACATAAAAAAGCTCTCTTGTGAGTTTTCGTTATGGTTAGCCGTTTTTGAGATATTTCGATTTTTAGGGTTCGATGCATTTTTAATTATTTATGGGAAAATAATATCTTTTTTTTACATTTTCGATTTGGGCATTACAAGTAATTAAGATGATCGTTTAGATTGTGTTTTTAAACACAGTAATAATTCCTACCTCCAAATAAACACAAAAAAACAGAATATTAATTTGTTTAATTTTCCAATATTATTTTCAACCAATTAAATTAATTATTTACAACTAAAATGCTATTGGATAGTTAGGACAAACATACAAAATCTAAAGTAGTTGCTCGAAATGTAAACCCAATTGTTCAATACACAATTCATATCTACGAATGATCGAACGTGGTATAGCATTATTCGAATAAGGCCTTATTTCATCACATGCATTCCTGATTCTATCTATTAGCATATCTCTTGTGGTTACGGGAGTCTGGTACACTTTTTCTTTTAGAAATCCCCACACAAAGAAATCTAATGGATTTAGGTCAGGGGATCGTGGAGGCCATTCTACTGGTCCTCCACGGCCGATCCATCTTTCTGGATAATTTTCGTCCAGCCAGTTTCTAACTATTCTCGAATAATGAGCTGGACAACCATCAAGCTGGAACCAGGCCAATCTTCTTAAATTTAACATAACATCATCCCACATATTTGCATGTTCAGCCTTTAAAAATTCCAAGAACGTCGCAGCATTTAACCTTGCAGGCTAAAGGTAGGGTCCAAATAGTCGATTACGGTAGATACCAACCCACACGTTCACACTAAATTCATGCTGAAAATTTCTTTCCCGAACTGCATGCGGATTTTCATGCGACCAAATATGTTGATTATGAAAATTTACCACTCCACGTCTAGTGAAGCATGACTCATCGGTCCCTAAACCGTTACTTAAAAACTCCCTATTATTATCAGTTCTATCAAGAATCCACTGAGAAAATGCGATTCTTCGTTCTCCATCCCCTGGCTGTAGTCCTTGCACAGGTTGCAAATGGTAAGGACGTCTATGGCCATTTCTAAGAACACGGTAAACATGGCTTGCTGAAATTCCCAAAGCTCCAGAAACTCTCCTAACACTTGTGGTCGGATTTCTATCAAACTCACGCAGAATCATACGGGTAAATCTGCGCTGACGAACATTTATGTTTGGGCACTTTGGAGATTTCCAAAACCATTTTCAATTATTTGGCGATGCACTCTTACAAATACTGAGCGAGTTGGATGTCGTCTGTTTGGACATCTTCGTGCGTATTCGCTGGCTGCTTCTGCTGCGTTTCCATTTACAAAGCCATACACAAAATGAATATCCGCTAACTCTTGATTGGAGAATAAAAATGACATTTTTATAAAACTTACAAAAAAAAAACAGGTAAAAGAAACTAAATTTCGTGCATTCACAATTGCCAAAAAACGTTTCAGGTTTCAACAGACAACAAAACTAACTGTCAACCAATTGACGTTTAACCTTATTCCGCTTTCAATTTCAAAATATTTGCAGACACAGCCTACTTCTAAAAATTATCGAGATACTGACTTTTTAACGTTATTTTATCATAAATAATCAAAAATCGAAATATCTCAAAAACGGCTAACTATAACGAAAATTCACAAGAGAGCTTTTTTATGTTGAAAAGTGCGAAGAATCAGTTTTTTATACATCAAATATTGTTCGAAACATTTAAAAAAATTTAAACACCCCGTATTTCGGAAGCCACGCATTTTTCGACGCATGTTTATATAGACTTTATGCATTAATTTAAAAGTTCTATCGAATCTTAAAGTTATGCAACAATAAACTGAAACACCCTGTATAGAACAACTAACATTTGATAATTATTTGCTCAAAGGTTATTTTTTGCTGCATGATATTCCCACGTCACGAATCTATCCTACATGCGCCATACCAATCAAACGCTGTCAACCTGATAGTCATAATATCCGATGTATTGAAAAATGAATGATGAATGATGACACAATTTTACGTAGTGAAAATCTTTATCTGCCGAGATAAACTTTACATTCACAGTTCTTGAAATAATCTAACAATAAGTGACAATTTTATCCTTATCGGATACGTCGTACCAGCTGTCGCAAGTCCCGACTTTTATGTTTATCACTTCCAATAGCCGTTCAAATAGTGAAATCTATTTATGGGTTCGTTTTTATTTTGGAATATCAGCTCTGTATATGTTATAATTTCTATTAATAATCATGGAGACGGTCAACAGTCCGATCAAGGGTGGACCGTATCAGAAGTTCTATTGAGTGTCATGGATGATGTAGAGAAGAAGGCGTACAGGGTGCTTTCGAAAGATGGAACCAAAGTCAAGAGATGATTCTTTTCTACTTTTCTACTAGGTAGAAATCGCTTTGAAAGACAAAATAGCAATGTTGCGTCATATGATTTTTTGACTGAGGAATATCTTGCAGAATTAAAGTCGACTTCAGCACATAAAATGAAGTGATTTTTTGTGTATACAAAAACTAGTATGTGGATCATAAAGCTTTAAAACTAATTAATCACCAAAAGGAAATCAATGCCGTCAATAATCAAAGCTCAGAGCCGATAGATAGTTAGCATATCAACAACACAGTAATTTGGCTTTTCTGTTATCGTAGGTATCTCCTACGGAGTTGAATATTGATAACACGTACACTGGCACTAACTATCACGTTGACAGATAAATATAAGTATGTGTTATAATATGTCAATAATACCCCTTAACACCTTTTGGTGATTCAATTTCTTCCAAACTCAATTACCCCCTACTGAGCGGGG